GGTGGGGAGGGCGGGGTGGGGGAACACAACCGTAGAGAGAAGCAAGTCTATTTCATAGACGGGGACGCCGAAGTCCGGAGAAGGGAAATCACTTCAGGAGGAGAACCAGGGCTGCAGGCTCCCAATACGGTGCTCCCTCCACTATACCGCCTGCCTCTCTTCTCCCTGGGAGCAGTAAAGCCCTCCTTCATAAAGAGTACCTCCACCACCTCTGCCCTGGCCCCCGTACTCTGATCTCCTCTACCCCTCATTTCCAGCTCTTGGTGGCTAAGCCGGAATGCCCCTCAGTACCTCCTCTGGGGTACCCTCCACTCCGGTTCCCACACTCACCCCGTGCTCACCAGGCTTCTTTCTCACCTGGCCCACCGATCCCCTGCTTGGGCCCAGCAGCCTCTGACTGGCAGTTGGTAAAGTTTGTAAAATTTGCAAGTTCCCCAAACCCCTTTGAAAGGTAAAAGCTTTTTGTTTTATAAAATCTGATTTATGGGCCCCCAGTGCAGGGCCGAGGTTTTATATATTATGCAAGATTTCAAACTGAGGCTGTAAAACCTACGGTTTCAGTTTCATGCATGGAAATTTTTTATGTGTAAATTTTTTAACATTTATGGGGCACGTTTTAATGAGACTCTGGTGTGGCTCGAGGGACAGATTATGGCTGCCTGACCGCAAAGCCAGCTCCAAAATGGGGCCCCCGCAGGCCCCCGAGCCCACTCTGAAGAGGCAAGGCCAGAGGCCTAAGGCTGTGAAGAATAGCTATGCCAGAGCTCTGGGCCCACAAAGACCTCGGCCAGCCCCACTCAGAGTCACTCACTTCAGCCTTCAGTGCAGACGTCCTCTGTCCACGTAGGAGCAAAAAATTCTACAGACCCCGAGAAAGGAAAAGGAAATAAGAATAATCTAAGCTAGCAACAATTAGCATTTATAGAGCACTTATTATGTGCCAGGTGCTCTTCTAAACACTTTACATATATTTTCTTATTTAAACCTTTTTTCAAACCCAAAAGTCCCATTTTAAGATGAAGAGATTGAGACACGAGATGACATCGCTAGCTGGAGATCACACAGCCAGCACCCGCCAGAAGCGAGAGTCACATACAGTTCTCGAGCACAGGCACCCATACTCCTCACAGTTACTCTGCTCTGTAGCTAATTTTTTCCTAGCGCTTTCTATGTACCAGGTCTTTTTCATTCTTTTCTAGTCGCCTCTCATTTAATCCTCAGTACGACTCTGAAGGAGTCACTATTATCGTCCCATTTTACAGAGGAGAAAAGTAAAGTGCAGAAAGATTATGTAAATTGTTCAGGGTCTCCCAGCAGATGGAAAACCCAGGACTCAGCCTCCGAAACCCGTGGTTCTCAAGCACCCGCTCTGCTCTTTGTTTCTGCCATGACACGTAGTTTTGACCATCCTCATTTTACAGAGAAGAAACTCAAGGCCTAAGAACCCAAAGCCAGTAAGTTACAGAGCTGGGCTTTGCACTAAGTGAGTCTAACTCCCAAAGCCCACGTCTTTTCTCTGAACCACACTGCTTCTCCAAATTCTGAGGATATTGGAGTGGAAGTGCCAAATTATTGGCTTCAAAGTGATTTAACTTGTCGTGCATAATGGCATCCGTAAATGTTCATTCTATCCCTCCATCATTTGGCGGTTCTCAGTCCCCGGTCTTCACCTTTCCTTGTTCCAGTGACCCTGCCCTCCCAACCTGTCAGGCAGAGCTGGTCTGGTCTGGAAAAATGCCTGATTAGATTTTAGCATCGGCTCCCCTAATGACCCCCAGGAAGTTTCAGAGCACATTAAGGAATGTGTGTTT